TGTTAAGTCTCCCATTAACTGATGACGTGGCACCCACGTGGACAATGACTGGGCGCCACGTGTCATTAAAATATTAAAATATTTAAAAAAAAAACCCTTCTTCCCTGCAACCCACACCCCCCAGCTTTTTTTCCCCTCTCTCTTCTTCTTCTTCTTCTTCCCCTACCTCAACCCCGACCCCCTCCCTCCTTTTTCTCCTCTCTTCCGTTCCAGTGCACGATAGCACCCACGATTGCCTCTTAATACAAGCATCAGGATTTAAATGGGGAAAAAAACTTGGCACAAATCACAAAAAAATAACACGAAAATGTTAAAACCTACTTGAATCTCACATTAGAAGCTTTCACAGCAATAACATTCAAACCCCAATTCACTAAACAAATAACCACACAAAAAAAAAACAGTTTAATTAACAAAACCTATGAAATTAAACACGGAACGAAAGCAACTGAGACGCAAATACTTAACAATACGAAAAGAAGAAGAAAACCCAACAATTCGAAGAGGAATTAGGGCTTACGTCGAGAACATCAAGGAGGTCAGGGACGGAAGACGGAGGTTCCAAGAGCTGATTCCCAGCTTCCGTAAGCTGTGCTTCGAGCTCTTTCTCTGCCAATGCCATTGTTCCTCCTTTCTCCTGGGTTGTCCGGTCTTGGGTCGAAAACTGGACAAGAGCAGGGATTTGAGGCCGTTGAGGGTCATGAGGGAGATTTGGGGAACGGCAGAGTTGATGAGTAGATTGTGGAGGAGTTTCAGTGATTTGCTGGAGTGAGGGGACGACAGTAGTGCTGATTGAGGCGTGGGGGGAGAGATACTTGGAGCTGAGCAAGGAGAGAAGGGAGGGATGGGGTCGTTGGGTAAGCAGCAAGGGCGGAGCAGAGAGGGAAAACAGAAAAAAGGGGTTGGTCGCTGGATTGGGTGGGGAAGAAGAAACAGAGATATGAACCCAGATTGGCTTTTTAGGTTTAGGTTTGGTTTTTTAATTTTTTTTTAAAATTTTAAATCACAAATTGTTTTTATTTTTATTTTTTTAATTTTTAATATTCCACGTGGACCCTTTAATGACACGTGGAGCCCAGTCATTGTCCACGTGGGTGCCACGTCATCAGTTAACGGGAGACTTAACAGTTTGACTAACGAATGTATGAGACTGTCCCAAAATTTACACTTTAGGTATGACTCTGGGACGAAAAAAACTTGATGTACTAAATGTTGAAAACCACGAAACATGAGGGTAGTAAACAGTCTTTTGCCCTTTATTTAATACACATTTTTAAATTTGAATGATTATTTTTATAAATATAATGTTTATAAATATAATTTTTAAATATTGATTAAAATTTTAAACTGTTTAAATTTATAGCATGAAAATACCTTATTCGTGAAGGATAGAGGCGCGCATGGTATTGTCAAGAGTTGTGGCAATCTTTTTTTTTTCTGTTACGCGCACCATGATATTCTCCACGTTTTTAGTTAGTTGTTCTGTAGCTAAAATTGGCCATGTCTGTATTGATATTTTGGTCATGCTTTCCCTTGACAAGGATAAAAAGGTTGTCTAAAAATTTCTGTATACAACTCATCCACATCAAATAAGCAATCGAGTATTTTTAAACAAAAATGAAAAGGATCTCCATCGATTATCTCTTTTTGCCAACATCATCAATAATTCATCACTCACCAAGTGCAAGTGGTTAAATTACTTAATTCGACCCACTCGGTTCAGTTGACATTGACACAACCTGATCATGATCTCTATGTCTATGATGATGAAGATGATAATACACTAATAGAAAAAACAGCTTGCACGACAAAAACATAGATTGATGGCGCAAAAATAGCAGGATGCATAAAAAACAAAAACAAAATAACTTTATGCAACGAAAATATTCTTCACACAACGCACAAGAAAAAGCGGGAAAATTTTTTTGCCACCAAATGTTTGCTCAACGAATATTTCCACATATTCGTCACGCAAAGTTCACTGAAAACAGTTAGATGCCCTTTAACCGCTCCCATTTATTGCACATTTATAACGCATTTTGCACAACCAAGTGGTTCGTCACGCAAAGTGTTACAGGTTCTATATAAACACAATTTCAGAACCCTGGTTTTCAAATGTTTTGTTTCAAAGGCGATGGCCAATTCGGTTCTTGGTTCAACGAAAAGTTGCAAGGGAGAAGGCTCTCGCGAAAGGAAAGGTAAAAAAAAAAATTATTGTTGAATTAGTTGTCTTATATTTGATATGGTTGAAATTGTTTTTTTTTTAATAGTCTATTACTTTTCAAATTTTGTGGTAGAAAAAGAAATGAGGAAAAATTGTGTTGCGAATAAAGAGGTACCGTCGTAAACGATTGCCCTCCTTTGAAGATAAAAGTAAGGCTAATGCGTATGCTGAACTTAGGTTTGACATTGGGGGTTTGGTGCGAAACCAATGTTCTACCAAGTTTGAGTCTTGAAAAATGGTGCCTGAGGAGTTGAAGAAGTCCATGGTGGGGGAGTTATCGGTAAGTTTGTATTAAAGAATGTATAATTATTTTTGTTAAAAAGTAGTATTTTTTAAATTACTAATTTATTTTTATTGACATTAATATAGGTTCATTGGGATGTTGATGAAACTGATTAAAAGCATCGGAAGTATCTGGTTGACCTTTTCAAGATGCATTTCCGGCAGCGGAATGCGGAGCGTGGGGAGTTCCCAATGCCCCTGTTGATGCCCCGGAGGAGGAGGATTGAAGTTTATTTGTTTTTTTTTTTATGAAATAAAATATATTTGGACGTTATGTTTGACTTTAATTAATAAATTTATGTTATATGGATGACTATTAATATTTACATTAGTTATAATATGTATTTGCGTTAATAAATTAGTTTTATTAATTATTTTGGTAATGTTTAATTAGGTTTGTTTTTTTTTTATTTAGATTAAAATAAAAATTTACATTGTTAAAAAGAAAACGGAAAAAAATGAAAATTTTTTTTTTATAAAAATATGCATGTTGTGTGATCAACGGAGTATTGGTCACGCAACTTGTTTACATTGATTAATTATAAAGAAAACGAAAACTATAATAAAATATTTAGACTTGCACGGCAAATATATACGTTAGTCGCGCAAATATACTTTGCGCGACAAACACCATATTCGTCTCGCAAAATGATTCGTGCAAAAGTAATCTTTATAATGTGGTTTCAACTATAGAGGCAGAAACTGCAGTAAAACTGCAGAATCGGCTTCTGCACCTCATCCCCCTTCGTTTTTCTTCAATCCAGCATCCATCACTTCCATTTTCTCTCAATTTCATCATCTAATACTTCATTCATCTTCTTCTTTAGATTGATCGAGCTATCTCAGTGTGTTTGGTAAGCGTTTTTTTTGTTAGGGTAAAAGTATTAATGTTAATTCGTACTAACGCAATGAAATTCGTTGTCGATGGGGATATTGTGTGTGATTAGCGATTGGTGGAGAACAATTTGGAAGGTATTTTCTTCGTTTTTTTTAAATATAAAATTAATTAAATTATGTTGAAATTATGTTGAAAAATTATATTTATATTATGTTGTTAAATAAGTACGTGACGTACAAATATGTGTTGTGATGTACAAAGTTAATTGTAATTAACTTCGTAATTTTTTTTATAGTAAAACTTAGTTTCCCGTTCGAGGATTAGTTGGATTTCGCGCATGGATGACAACATATATATGCATTGAATTTTTTTTCTTCTAATTTCTTCTAATTGTGCATATGTCGCATCTTATTAGAAATCGTAAGGCGATGACGACTGCACCCTGTTCCATTCCCAAGCCTCCTACTTCAACCGTCACTGCTCCGGGAGAAATGGACCCCAGGCCGGTTGATCCGGTTAGTCTCCGGGTCTCCCAGGCGCCGGCGTCATCGGCCTCTTCAGTAACACTACCTGTTAGCACCAAGCATGCTCACTACCTCCCCGGCACGCTCGACATGATATCGGCATCCACTACTGATGCCTCGAGGTCACAACCAGGTAAAGTTAAATAACTCATTTTATATTCTTGTGAATTTAGTTATTCATGAATTATGTTTAATCAAAATTGTTACATACTGCAATTGTGCGCTTGGTCCAAATTTGGCTTATTTAACTATTGTGATTGTTGTTGGATATCATATATTATTCATTACAATGTCCAGGGTTTGGGAAATGTTATAACTTTAGGGGAGGTTCTGCCGAAATTTCGGTATAATTTGAAGTGTTTGTTTGACTTTTTTTTAATTCTTTTTTTAGCAAAGAAAAATACCGGGGAACCTTGTCGCCAGTTGAAGACGGCGAAGGTCACCCAGGTGACCAACAAATGTATCACGATCGGATATGACGACCAGCATCGAGTTGCACCAACGGCAGAGCAGCATAGCGCATTGGCTCACAACATTGGTCACATCATTTAGACCTATTGCCCTATGCAATGGAAGTCTTGGAAAACGATGTCGGACGAGGTGAGGACGATCAGTGGTGAAGCCAGGAATTGACTGGGGGAGGGGCGAAGTTAAAAGATTATAAGGTTCAAAAGAATAGCAACAACCAAATCCTTTTATATAGTAAGGTCTTCCATAATTTATCAATATAAACAAATTACAATTGTTGCCGGCGAGGTTTCATATCATGAAAATGTCGCATAACAGGCTCATTATCAATAAAAGCAAATACATCTCTCTCAATGTAAACAAGCATGCTATCACTCAACCATTGATCTCCCATTTTGTTACGTAATGGTGTTTTCACAATCTTCATAGCAGAAAAAGCTCTCTCTACCGAAGCGGTTGCAACCGGTAACATCAAAGCCAATGTAAGAAGCTTATACACTAACATATAGCTTGCACACCTTCCGGTCTTCACCAACTCCTTTGCAAGATCACCAGTTCCTCTTAATGATGAAAACTCACTATGCATCTTCATATCGTAAATGTAATTGTCAAGTTGAATGGGAAGATTTATGAGATCCATACGATCAAAATCTTGAGGATAAAGTTAAGCTAGACGAACAATTTTTGCTTTGTCAAAAGATGCAAAATTATTCACCGGACTCAAACATGCCATACAAAGAAGCAATTCAGTGTTTACCTTAAACAAGCGATCATTCAATTCCTTTAATTGCGTATCAAGGACTTGAAAATAGAGATCCACACGATAGTAATGAAAGTTTGTGAGTCTTGGAGCTTTACGCCTTGATTTTCCGGGTACGAAATGCAAATCCTCCATGTTAGGAACGACAATATCATGTTCTTCACAAAACTTTTGTACATCATTAAGCAAGTCCCCAAAATCATCATCTTTCAAGGATTGTAGTCTTTGCTTGCATACTTCCACTAACGCCATCGCATTCACAATATCTTGATCTTTCTTTTGTAATGCTTGTGATAACTCATTTGTAATTCCCAATATAAGTCTCATTAAAAAAAGGTGAAACACAAAATCAAAAATTTGTATGTCATGGAATAACTTACTTGCTTCTCCGAAATTGTCTTGGTTGGTATCATCTTTAATCCATTCAAGCACCTCCACCACGGCTTCAAACATGACAATAATACTCACTATAGTACCATAATGTGAGTTCCAACGTGTATCACAAGGACGCATGGGACTACTCTCTTGATTTAACCCTCTACCCATTTCAAGATCACCAACATCAAGAGCTTTCTTAATTTGTTCTAGTTGTTTCTCTCTAAATGCATCACGACGCTTACACGATGATCCAATAGTATTGACCAAGATACTAGCATTGTTGAAGAAAATGGCGACACCCTCAATTCCCTTTGTAACGGCTACAAGAGCTAATTGAAGTTGGTGTGCAAAACAATGAACATAAAATGCTTGAGGATACTTGTTCAAAATCTTTGTTTTAAGGCCATTTAGCTCACCCTTCATATTACTAGCTCCATCATAGCCTTGTCCCCGTAACTTAGACATACTCAAATTTGTTGTAGCAAAGAATCTCTCAATAGCCTCTTCAAGTGAGCTACTAGTTGTAGAGGTGACATGTTGCACACCCAAAAACTTTTCAATTGCTTCTCCTTTTTTGTTCACTTAACGCAATACCACCGCCATTTGCTCTTTAGTTGAAGAATCACGTGATCCATCAACCAAAAGAGAAAAAAATGCACCTTCCATATCTTTAGTGATTGCATCTATAGTTTCAATGGCACAAGCAGGGACAAGATCTTTTTGAATATCGGAATAAGTATACTTAAGATTCTTGGGAGCATTCTCAAACACAACTTTTCTAACTTGCTCATTAGGCTTGGAAAGAAATTGCATAAGCTCTAAATAATTACCTCTATTGCTTGATTTGAACGATTCATCGTGGCCACGAAAAGGCAAACCTTGTCCCAATAACCATCTTGTACACTCAAGTGAGGCATTCAATAAAGTACGATAATTAATGCGCGCTTCATCGGTTTGCTTACTCACAAATGTTTCAATGTGTTGTTTTTGTGCCATCAAATCTCTAGCTTGTTGTATAGCTTTATTATGAAGACTTCCAACACCTCCCTCATGAACTCGAAGATTTTGGGGTCCTTTCTTCCAATTTGTAAACCCTTTCTCAGTGAAGACATCACTTCCAGTGCTACCCATTTGATCGAAATCACATTTGAAAAGATAGCAATAACGGCAAAATGCAGCATTTTTTGATATACTATACTCCAACCACTTAAACTTATCAAACCAACCAATGATAAAACATCTTTTGTCACTAAATTTTCTTGGCATGATGTGGTCTCTAGGTTGACAAGGATCATTTTGGAGATAGTGTTTACGAATTGCTTCACGAAAATTAGGTGGATAATCAAGCATTCGACGTCTATGTTCAGGGTCTGCAGGAAGATTAGCCAATATTTCATCTAACTCAGTGGCCTCACTTTGTTGTGACCTATTAGGAATATTCGAAGGATGACTTCTTGGAATATTTGAAGGAGGAGGAGGACTACTCGGAATATTTGAAGGAGAAGGACTATCCAAAATGTTTGAAGGAGGATTTAAGCATTGTTTCTTATAGTATCGTTCCATTATGTAACTGTAAAATAGAAAGAAAAAAAAATACTAAGACTCTTAATCCTAGAGTAGACTATACTATAGTATGCATAATAACTAATCCAACCAACAATTCAATTAATCAATACCAATAAGCGTACAAATTATTCGATAAATAAAAATTCAATTCAACTAATCATATGAATAATTGTATACATAATACATTATGTAATAATTCAATTCAATAATCGAGAATTCAAATTTTAATTTTTACCCTAAAAAATAATTTCATAATTTCATATCAATAATCAATAACCATATTTGTGCATTTAGTGCTTTACTATATGATTCTATACTAATTAAACAAAATTCGTTTTAAATAATAAATTAGGGTTAGGGATTATAAATTTAGGGATTAAAAAATATACCTAAATAGTGGGTTTGAAACTTTGAAGGGCTGCCCTGCAGTGTAGATGACTATAGTGGAGCTGGCGCAGCAAAAAAGGCCAAACAGTGCTGCTGTGCTGTGCTGTGCTAATTGGGCCTTCTGACTTCTGTTCCGTTTTCTGCTTCGAATAGGGGAGCAGCCTCTACTTTGCTGCTGGTTTGATTGGAAGTTGTAAAGGGTTTGAGTTTGACAGAGAGATTGAATGAATGGGGGATCGTGGTCCCCTTATATGAATTTTTTATTTCTTCCAACTTATCAAAACGGTGCCGTTTCATTTTCTCATTTTTTTAAAATTTTTTTTACCAGGCCCAAAACGACGTCGTTTTGGCTTGGTTGTTTAAAAAAAAAAATTTAAGTCAGCTCTGCTGCCTAAACAACAGAACCAACCAGATAGACGACCGGAGCAAACAGAGCAGCAGAACCAGTGGGTTTTCCGGCAGGGGATGGGCAAAACCAGCACTCCAGTCTTGTTTTTCCGGCGAGGGGAGTGGTGGCCACCACTCCTCGCCCTCACGTGGCTTCGCCACTGAGGACGATGGTGCGCGATTATTTGTCAGTAAGTATCCTGACTTTTTATTACTTTTCCTTTATAAAGTCTAAATATTTATATTAATTAATGTATTTAATTAATTTGTTACATTGCAGACGAACTACACTTTCGACAACATCAACGACAGTATGTTGGCGTACGTCAACAAGCTATTCGTTGAACTGTACAAGCTGTGGAAGAGCGACCTACGCCAATATTTTGAGACGTTTGATCATCTACAAGTTGCTCTTAAAGAGGGTTGCCCAAAGGAGTTTGAGAACCGAGAAGAAAATTGGGTATGGCTTTGCAGTTATTTTCAGGAGCCCGCCTATATGGTAGGTTTTTTATATTAAGTCTAAAAGTATTATACGTTGCTTACTAATGTTTATTGATTTTTTTTTTATATTTCATTTAAATTACAACTAATACGTTTATTTTGTGTATAACAGAAAAAGGCGAAAGCCAACAAGATCAATCGGGAGAATAAGACTTTTATTCACCATTCGGGTTCGAGGCCCTTCTCATATAAGATGAAGGTGCGGTGGCAGGTAATAATAAAGCTTTTCATATTCAATTTTAATATGTCAGTAATATTATTTTTTTTTTCGTACTAACATTTTTCCTATCTTGTTCTATTCAGGAGGTTCAAAATTCCTGGAAATCGATGTCTTTGCAGACGTTTATGTTCGACCCGAGGATGAGTTAGCCTAGTCCCTTCATGTAAGTATTCTTCAATTGTAATTACTATCTTACGAATTCAAGTATCATGGTTATTATTTCAATGTTATTATTAAGATTTCATTATATATTACACAGAATACGATGATGGAGAAGAGGCAGTCGGTTATTCAAGAGTCCGCCTCCCAGCATCTTCCCAACACTCCGATCGAGTCTGTGGATCCCCTGAGGATGCGGGTTTTAAGATCCTTACAGACACCTTGGATTAAAATCTCGGTTGGAGGCCAGGGACGTATTGTAGGGGGATGGGGAATGTCTGCCAGCTGGAACCTAGAGCCTCTTCATCCTCTCAATCGAAGGGCGAGGTGACAGCTTTGACAGAAGAGGTGGTCGGCCTTAGGAGTGAGCTCGCCTCATATAAGAGCCAGATGTCACTGATTGTAAAGACCCTTAGTAAGCCCAGCATTCGTCTCACGGATATTCGTACCACGTCAACATCCAAGCCCCTCCAACCCAAGCATGCCCAAAACTCCGCCCCTTCGACCTCTAAGCCCGTCCTCATCCCTGATGCCTTTTTGCCCTAAGATTTCCAGCCGCCTGCAAACGACGACCTCATAGATCTTTTCTTAGTTTTTTACTCCCTTACTTTTTAAACTTTTTCCTTGTACGTACATTTTCTTTTTATTTTAAATAAATTATTTTTCTCTTCATTACATTTTTTATTGCAATTTAATTTCATTATTTTATTACAAAATTAAAACCAAAACAAAAATATATATTTAAAAATGTATATATATTTTTTTTCTCGATGAATACCTTCGTCTTGCATAATTTTTTGCAACTAATAGTTTTCGTTGCACAAAGTTCTTAGAGATGAAGATTAGTCGTCCCATGTATGTATCCTAACGAGTGTTACTTGTATCCTAGCATTTTGTGCGACGAAGATCTTCATTCCAAAAAATTAGTGCGACGAAGCCGGAATCGTAGCGCCTTCTTCTCCGCGACCAATGTGTTTTATTTGTTGCGCAAAGTCATTCTTCACGATCTTTGAGCGACGAAGTTTTCGTCGCTTTGACGTTTGTGCAACTAAGATAGGCTTTGCGCGGCCAATTTGTGTTTGTCAAGCTAAATGTTAAAGGTAGTAGTGATACATCGTAAATGGTTTCTTTTCAATGATGGAGTGGAGTGGAGAACTATAGCTTCCTTGGCCTTTTCTTGGAGATCATGTGGCCCTGTCAATGGTGCATATTCATTTGCCTTTTCCTCTCTATCTCTTATGAAGACACAAACTCTTTTTGATGTAGAACAAATGGCCGAATGGATCAAGGATCGATGGAACGTCGGAAGACAAAAAGATGCAATGAGAATTTGTCTTTTTGGCGTCAGAGCTCGCGCTCTCTATAAATTTTCAGAAAGGAAACGACTCCATGAGGCAAACTCATCACTTTGCCATGATGTACGATAGATTTCGGCCAGTCGGGATCGTTTCAGCCTCCTAATTGTAGCTTTAAGTCTGTAAAAAAAAAATTGACTTTTCGTTTGTTGTCCGAATTTATTTCATTAGTCTTTTGAGTTGTCCCAACAATTGTATTATGTTTATTTAAGCCATTTGGCTGTTCGTAAGCATCAATTCAGTATTAAACAAAACAATCTTTGGGTTTTCAACTAAAATCTGGTGGACTCCAGAAATTGTGTTCTTCAAGGATTTACGTTCGTATCCCTCTTACTTGTGTTGCGTTACTCTTGAAATCATATATATTATTTCAGTGACATATCGGTTGAGAGGATCTCTCTTCGCATAGTCACAAATTCAAGTGCTGTTTTATGATAAACTTTGATCAATGGTAGAAGAGCAATGGCGTGGGGACTCTGCAGATTTCGGCGAAAGAGCAAAAAGACTTGGACTATGAAGTCTTTCAATTAAGAACGACGAGTGCATGTAAGTCAAGAAGAATCCATTAGGGTTGTTAAGGACACTCTTTTATTACTTTTATTTTTGTATATTACGTCATTTGTTAGGAAGGCGAACTTGTTTTTTCTTTTATCAACAGAAGAAACGGAGAATAAAAATAGTTATAAAAAACTTTAGATAGGTGGTGGGATCTTCAATTTATATTGGGGTGTACTATGTCCACTCCTATTTTTACTTCTCATACACCTTTTGTTAATTTATGTCCTTTAATCTTCTTCAATTCATCTGATTCGACGGCCGAAAATTAAAAAGATGTATGAAAAGTAAAAAATAATGTGTAGATGTCACACCCTTTTATATTTTGAAGAGTC